GCTGAGGTAGGTGCTTGTGCTAGCAAGGGCCGTAGCATACCGATAGGAACCGGGGGTCTTCGGCCTTAGGCGCTGTTCGGTGGAGGGAGGTAAGGACATGTATCTTCTATGCACGCTTCTGAGGTCGGGCTCGTTTCATTGTGTATCCAACGCTATTACACTTATTCTTGACTTGGCCTCTAGGTGCTACCATAATACAACGATCAGAGTAGTTGCTATCCTTTGGTATACAGGGCAACGTTTGCCTATGTTATTAAACTGATTCAAGACTACAGTAAGCTGATAAAATATATTTTAGAGGCATTGCTTTAAGTGATCTGTTTGGTGCCCTGATACCTGCCAATGCAGAGAAGTGTAGTAGGTTTTCTTTTGTTTTAATGTGATATCCCTTATATATATACACACACACAAGAAGTTATATAAACATCTTGTGTTATGTAAACATCTAGTGGCAAGATGTCATATAAACTGGTCCTGCCACCAGCCAGGACCACTGAAGTGATGCTTCTAGATGTCATACATTTTACCAGCTTATTGTACTCTTGAACCAGGAGAGCAATCAAGATGTACACAGTATCAGGATGTACATGACATCTAAAATCAATATGTTTATATAACATCTTGTAACTTCATCTCTTTTGCTATTTTTCTGTAACTCCTTAAAACATTTACATCTCTCAGCCTCTTCTCCATGTCACATCTTCTCCCTGATGTAATTATGTTCCACAAGATACAGTTTTGTCAGCTTCTGCAAGTGGAGCTGAGCACGGCAGCATACATATTTCCCCAAGACAACTTGAAGCCAAGTCAGTAAGCAGCACTCCTGTGTCCAGCTGATCCCACATTCTGGAAGGGTTTTCTTTTAGAAAAATCTAATGCCCAGTGCTTTTAACCACCAATGTTTATTTTCCCAATTTTAGGATTTTTTTCTTTTTATGTTTCTGAATCCTAAATCTACCATGTTAGTCACATTTTTAGGACAGACAGATCTGATCTCTAGGTTCCCCTTGGGAAGCCTGTTCTGCGTCATGACATACTGCTGTTCTCTCCGGGTGGTGCTCAACTTCTCCTTTAGTATTTGTATGGTACTTTGATTATACAAAGTGAAACAAAGCTCTCAGAGCTAAGCTTTATCAGCTTTTTAATGTATTTGTGCAGGGGAGAAAAATAATGCACCAGTGACAGCTAGGTTGGGGTTAATCTTAAGAAAACAGCTGAAATTTTTAGTATGTTAAGAGTCAAAATAGTGGCCACTTAATGCACAGTAGTATTTCTGATCTAGCCTGCCCTTATGCTGTCAACCATGGTGGAAGATTTCCTTTAACATTTTTTGGATGTGCCAGTAGAAAAATGGGTACAGTAAAGTCAGTACACACAATTACTTGCTTTTCATCTCTATTTGACAAGGTCTTTCACAAATGCTCTTATGGGAACTAGATAGTCGTGAGTGATAGGGGAAGCATTACTGTGGATCAGAAGTCTGTTTTCCATCTCGGAGGAAGAAAGGGACAAAAACTTTGAGTTTTCTTAATGACTTGAAAAAAGGAAGGAGGAGGGAAGGGAGGGGGCAGTAGCTGTGATCAGCACAAATTTATTTAGGGTTATAAAGACAAGAAATAAGCAGCAAGGAACTTAAAAGCTAAAAAATCTTAAAGCTAGAGGAACTGATGATGTGGTGAAGATGCTAATCAGTGTTAATAAACTGAAGTAACATCATTGCACAGAGTAGCTTGAGCTGCTGGTTTGGTTTATGTTGTTTTTTTCATTCATCCATAAAGCAAGAAAAAAGACTGGGCAGTTCTGTAATATGTGAGGATTGCTGAAGTCTCTGTAGCAGTAATTTAAAAAGGAAATGGTATGAATAAGGATAAGATGGCAAATAGATTGTAATTCTGTTATATTAATCAGTGCTGGAACATTATGAATTTGGTAATGTCTGCGCTGTCTCAAAAAAACAAATTTTGAAGCAAGGGTTTGGTGAAGTAATTACCTGAAGGTGGAAAATCTTATTGGAGGAAGAATTGAAAAAATTATGTCAGGAGATAAGAAGAATGGTAGAACAGCTGTTGGAAATAATGAAAAATATAGGCAAGGTAGTTTCTTTTTGCCTTTTCTCATAATACAGAAGCTTGTAGAGAAGTCTGACCTTTAGGTATGTGACCTAAGTGACCTCAGATTCAAGTATGATACTTGACCTTTTAAATTTTTTTTTATTTTCTCCTCCCAAAGGGCAATATCAGCAGGTAAATGTCCCTGAAGACCAAGCAGACAAATTGCTACTTGCAAGCTGGGGTCTTCCCAAAGCAGTTCTGGAGAAATACCACAGTCTGGGAGTAGTACAGATGTTTGAGTGGCAAGCAGAATGCCTAATGCTTGGACAAGTTCTGGAAGGGAAGAACCTAGTTTACTCAGGTATGCAAGCATCTGACAAAACAGTCCCTCCTAGCTTTCCCAATGCCATTTACAGCAACATATTGGTGTTGAAGGGTTCCAGTCTGGCAGATAAAAAGGTCAAGGTGCTCTTTTTCTACACAGACCCTCTTAAGATCTATCCCATTGCTTTACCTCAGACCTGGCTTGATAGACTTCTTTCTAGATGTGAGGAGAGACTTTTTTTTCCCCAGTTTCTCTGTTAATATTCCTTTAGAAACTGATAATTAGGAGTCAGTTAATGATGACTTTTTTTGTTACAGACTATGTCAACCCAGAACTGAATGGTAACAGCAATGTTAGATATAAATACTTTTGAAAATGTTATTTACTATCCAATTTTTTCAGTCCTTTTATAAATTCTTTTCACCTAGTGTTTGTGCGGGAGGATGGTGCATAGAAGAAGTAGGGCTAGTGAACTAGAAATCTGTCAGAAATGGCAACTTGGGTGTCTACTCTCCATGGGAAGAATGTCCTAGAGCAGCGCTGAGAGAATGAAGAACGTACAAGAGGGGTGGGTGATTTTCTTAGGCTTGGGTTTGAATTTTTTTTGCTTGGTTCCTGAAGACTTTGGGCCTGATTGCTGGATAGTCACTGTCCCTTCTGATGTGGCATCTCTTCTACAGTTTCTGTGGGTGACAGATGACAAACAGCAATGCTTGCCATGCAGGAGAGGTTAATGTATTTATGGACTGGGTCAGGAAGGTGGTGACCGAGCTCACCTGTCCAGCCAAGAGGCTGTATTGGACTTTTTTGTTTGTTTGGGTATTTTTCCCCTTGCTTATCTCTAAGCTGCTGTTGCTTCTGGAGCAGAAATGAGAAGACAAGTCTTGGTAGCATGATGGAACAGGTTAGAAGAAAAATACTTTGCGATCTTTTTGACCCTTTACAGATTTAACTGCAAAAGTGGTTGTGGCTGTAGGAGAGGGGCATCAGTTGCAGAGTGCTGCCCCAGGTTCTCCAGTAACTGCTTTCTATGCCAGCTTTATGATTCTGGTTCCTTAGATATTTTTTTCTTCAACTTTAAAAATTTATCGTTTTGTTTTGTTTTCCCCTAGCTCCTACCAGTGCTGGAAAGACTCTTGTTGCAGAACTGCTTATTTTGAAGCGAGTCTTGGAGACTCGTAAGAAAGCTCTTTTCATCCTTCCCTTTGTCTCTGTGGCCAAGGAAAAAAAATGTTATCTGCAGGTAAGTAGCATTCGAGGAGGCTAAATTTATGAGTTTTTGTTATTTGGTCACATTGTTTAAACAGAAGTTTTTTCATGGATTTGAGGAAAAAAATTTTGCAGAGTTGTTTCAGAGGATTTGTAGATACTTTAAAACTTGCTTTCATTCTAATTTGGAGTTAAAGTTTTAGCTGAAAAGGAAATCTTTGAAAGATTTTAAGGAGTTGATTAAAACATCTTATTTCAGCTTTGACTTTTAAAGCATTGTTACTTGCTTTTACTCACAGATTTTATAATGTACAAACTTTAAAGGAATTTTCTAATTAGAGTTGTGTCTGAAAAACTGCAAAGGGGAGGTGTCAACATTATCTGAAAGGATAGAAAGATATTTTAGCTTTCTTTGGGGTGTTCCACCAGAATTTTTTTCTGCCTCTGATTTCACTTTGACTTTATGAAAAATTTGTTCTGACAGAAGGTGGTTATGTCTTGGCTTTCTCACCCCAGCTATTTAAAAACAAAATTACAGTGAGAACAGTCTTTTTAAACAAAAAACATTTTTTTAAAAAATCCTTTTATATCAAACATTGTTTCCATTAAATATGTCGAAGTAACAATAATTACTAAAAACAAATAGAAAAACAGCAGGCATTTTTGTTGTAGTATACATTTAAGATATTTTGGGTGTTAATAAATTGAGAAGACATCTTAACTTTGCAGATTGTTAGGAAATGCTACAGAGTGCAAAAGCTACTTCGTAGTGATGGATAATGGAGTTGTGCTTTTGCTTTCATCTTGTAAAGCTGGAGGATTATCAGTCCTGTGTTTTTCTGTTCTGGGGCTAAGGTTTGGCTGTAGCTGAACATAATGGAAATCATGTGGTATCTTACCTGTCTAGTTTCAACATTTGCACCTTCTGTGAATGCAGCGTGTAATGTGCCAAAGCTTTGGCACTGCAGTAATAAGCCATGGAAAAAAAGAAGTTGTTGTTTCTTGACTTCCAGTGGGAGATGTGACATCTTTTTGTTTGGGGTCCCACATGTGACTCTTGCCCAGAGTTTCTCAGGAGCGAGGCATCTTTGTACATAAGCCACTGGTGTTATAAAGTGTTGCACTGTGTGTTCTCTGACATTTTTAATAGTAAGTATTTTTATAGAAAACAGTGGTCCCCATCTCCTAGTTATGTACACTTTATCCTGCTGTGTGTGGCTTCTGCTATGGAAATATAAAACAACAATGGAAAAAAAAACCCTATAGCAGTAACTGGCTGATAAATTTAATCTAATAAAATGGCATTATAACTGCTAGAAGTTGTGGTTATAGGATGCAGCCCTATACGTGATTCCAGCAGGCACTGGTCAAAATTCAGAGTTGTGACCTTGGCATGACATTCTGTATCCTTGGAAAACAGGCCCTGTTTCAGGAGGTGGATGTGAGGGTTGAAGGCTACATGGGAAGCATGTCTCCTGCTGGACGTTTCTCTGCCCTGGATGTTGCTGTCTGCACCATTGAGAAAGCCAATGGTCTAATCAACAGACTAATAGAAGAAAACAAAATGGACTCACTGGGTAAAAAATTAGGGCTTGACTGCTGTGGGGATGAGGTTTGTTACATACTCCTAGTACATGTGAAATCATTGTATACTTCACATTTGCTCAGTGCTGTATGTGACAGATAAGCCATATAGGAAAACTGAGCAATTTTTCTTCCTCCAGAGCACCTCTGATTTTGGCTTTAAGGTGGCAGACAGGACTCCTCTGTGTAGCTCAGTGGATGGGGTGAGTTGGTAGAAGCTGCAGGTTTTAGTTTGTCTGACACGGGTTAGGATCCATGGACAGTGATGAGCTGCACTAAGCAGTGATTCCCATACCTAGAAAATATATTTTAATTAGTGAGATTGAATTAGAGGTCTGGGTTATGTTTGAGTTCATGAATGTACGTTCGTTTGTTTTGGACAGAGATGTGGCATCCATGGTTTATCTTCACTTAGTTAAAGGAAGAGGAGGAATTTGTTTTGGTGCTTGTCTGCATCCAGATAAGTGATATGAGTATGTGGAGCTCCGCTGTGTTGTCTGGGAGGGCCATGACGTTTGTTTCTCTCTTGTAGTTTACTCAAAAATCCTCTGTCATTGTAACGTGGACTTCTGGCTCTCCCTGGCCCTGATGACAACTAGATAATGGTAGTATCCATTCAGTGTTTTGGTAGAGGTATAAAACCTGAAGCAGCCTTATGTTTCCAGCATGCACTTGGGAGAGAGATCTGTCTTCCTAGTCCAGTCAGAAGCTTGTTCTTGTCTTTGTTTCCCTGCTCAGTAAAGCTATACCCAGTTATATTTTATGCAGTAACCTCTCCCATCTTCACTCTGACCTGTAACTTAGCTGGTTGCTATTTTAAGAGTATAAAAATGGGAAAACTGGCTGAGCATCAGACTGCTCTGAGGCCTCTACCTATGAAACTGCTGTTCTGTGTGCACCAGGTGTCATAATGTTCTGCAGCGTTGTATGCCAGAGGAGTTTTTTAAACATGAGAGAATAAGGGAAAGAAAGCCTTGCAGGTTTTTTCAGTGTGAGATCATGGGATAACACATTCATACCTGGATCTATAGGAGATGGATCACCATGAATGCTTTATACTGCCAGTGGGCTGGAAGGTGAGTGGGAGACTCTGGTTGTGCAGTGTTTTAAGCTCATTCGAACTGAGGATTCTGCAGCCCTTCCTGATTCTTGGATGTATCTCTTCATCCATTCCCTTTCAAGAGAACTGGCAGTCATACATTTAGTTATTTCAATATATGGCTACTTAGTTTAGGGGTTTTTTTGTTTGTTTTAAATAGGTTTAGTTTGACCCTAGGTCACCACACTACTGTACTTGCAGCTTGTAGAGAGAGTAGGGTCATGATGTCCATATTTATGTTGGCTTAGGTGCCTTGGAAGCATGAGCACACTAAAATGTATTGTTTAATGATACCATCTTTCAGAAGCTAGAGATCTGCCAAATCCCTTTGGTTGGTACCTCCATTCCATCCCTACATTTTGTTGTGCTAAGATGAAAGTACCTGAGATAGTCATATAATGATAACCAGCCAAGTGATTACAGGATTTGAGTTGGAATGTGTGTCCTCAACACTGAGACCTCCTTAAAACATGATGGTTTTCTTCTGCTATTTGAAAACAACTCTACTGCAACCCTTTGTTTCCCTCGTGCCTAAGTATAACCATGTAACAGAAATAAGGGTAAATTATTTTTCTGTATATGCTTATTTGAAATTGTTTTAAATTTGAGTTTGAAAATCATCCTTAAAGTAGAAATTGACAAAATTACTATCTGGAGATAAATTTTCATAAGAGTTGCAAAATACAGGTATGATCTGAAAATGCCAGTTTAACTGTCACCTAAAGCAAGTTTGTCTGAAACTGCAAGATTGTACCTCTTGTACATCTAATTAGTTCTAAATTTAGATAAATTCATAATGAGGGTGTTTTTTCAGATGAGTTCTTGGGAGATGACTGTAATTCTGGCTGGGTTCTATCTCAAGCTTGAGCTGTTCCTTTTGTTGTCAACCCCCTGATGATAGCTCAAGTTGCCTTTGCAAATTGTTGGGTGAAATCCTCTGCCTGGCAGGGCTCTCTTTGCTGTATCAAGCAGTTAAAAACAATTTCGTTTTGCTAATTATTATATAATATGTGTGTCAGTTTTGAACATCCAGGTACACAGGAGATCAGCCTCTTGACACTGATGCTAAAGAAATTTTTAGGAAAGCTGATTAGAGAAGAATCTGCTGCCTTATCAGTGTGTCAGCTGGGAATGGATTTTTAATGTGCTCTTGTGACATTAACTTCTTTCTTTTCTTATTTAAACTCAAAATTAAAAAGTTACTAGTTTAATTACATTAAAAAAAAATCAAATCCACCCTGCCTATCTTTCAGAACTTTTTTGTTTTAAACAGGATGTGGACTTAAAGCTGTGTAGTTATTCTGCAGTAAGCACGTATGATGGGTCTTGGGTACTCTTTAGTAGGCTTTTTTCAGCAGTCTTCTAGAGCCAAACCTAATTTACAGACAAAAATAAGAGACTGAGGCTAGCCTCATTTTCAGTAGCAATGCAGTATGATGTGATTCTGACCCCACGTGCGCTGCTGAGCTGCTTGTTGCATAGAAAATACCTTTGCATGCTGGGACCTGTAGTCCTTCTTGACTGCAGTTCCATTCTAAGACCAGGCTAGCTTTGTGAAAATTGCAGGTTGCCAGATTGCTCCTGCCACGTTATCCCTGCGGGTGTGTTGTGAGTGCTGCCTGAGCAGAGGAGGGCATGGGGTGTGTGTGACAGTCTGCTCTCACCAGCCTGCAGACTGCCAGGGCAGCACAGCACATGGGCTTAACGTGGCTGTGAATCTGTGTTACAGCTGAGGAGCCCCAGAAGGTATAGAACAAATAGTGGCATTCCCTGTGCTTTGGCCTGTAGGTACCACTGGTGTTCTGGGCTTTGTTTCAGGAAGCAAAATGTGCTGCTGCTTGACATAAAGACTTGTAGGAGTTTTACTTTGGTAGAGCTCTGATTACTCTGTCCTGCCCCAGTTGCTGGAAGAATTCAGGCTGTCATGTAGGGAATTGGGAAGAAGCTTTTTCTCATAGCTAAATAAATATGTATTTGGTGACCAATGAATTACCATTTTTTTACAAGTGAGCACAGAATAAAGGAAGTACAGGAAGACCAGGGAGCTGGATGGGTGGGAGTTTGTAGAAGAGGCTGATGAAGCAGTACAGTACTCTTCTAACTTAAGCTGCTTGAAAGAGAACGGGGGAGAAAACAGAAGGAAAGAGAAGGAACATATGTAGGTAGGAGAGAAAAAAAAATTAGGAGGAAAAATAGCACTGAAACAGATAAAATAAGGTCACATTTGCCCTTAAGCTCCTACTATTTTAGCTGTACTAGGAAAATATTACATAGCTGCACCAAAGAGGAAAAAAATTTCCACAGCAGCAGAACTAATGAATCCGTGTGTCCTCTGTGCCCTGCATTCTTTGTTTTGCCTTCCTTCAGCCTCTTCCATGTGCCTGTGATGTCAGCTGAGCAGAGAGGGTGCATACTGCTGCTAGGTGGGATCTGTGCAGGAGGTGGGCTAGGTGGCTGAGTTGTAGTGGCTCTATGTTTCTTTCCTCAGGGGAGACCCTAATCTGGTCTGTTGTCTCCAGCTGCTGATATGCAGAAAGCTTCTTATACCTTATTCTTTCCAGTATTCCTACATATCTTACGAATTTGATGGAGGTGGCTAATAGATTAAAAAGTTGTTTGCAGGAGGTAGGATGACAACAGAGCAGTCATGTAAGGATTTTTTTTTCATTAGAAAGCCAAAGCTAAATAGTAGAGCTCATTCAGGTTGAGTTAGTGAGAAAAGCTATAATAGGAAGCAGGCTATGCCAGTGTAATTACATCTGCTCTAGGTGCTTTTTTCTGACCTTACTGTATTAGTAAGGAGTGATATTTATAACTAAGACAGTGATGTCAGCAAAGCTTTTGATTAGCTCGTCTGGGTGCTGGAATATTCTTTTCCAGATACTCTGAAGACTGGAGGGGGTGGGTTTCCTTGCAGAAAGGTTACAGTACAGGTGCTGCAAAACTGTTTTGTGTGGTGGACATACTTAACTATTCAGTGTATTTATTTTTATATTTTTAAAAGCTGATGGGGTGTGTGTGTGGGGTTGTGGGATGGTGTGAAATGTCATGATATTGGTCATGATTTATCTCTCTCAGAATCTGCGACAGAAGGAAGCTATCGTGGTGTCAGTGAGCACAGCTGGATTTGTGACTATAAATTTCAGTTCTTCATCTGGAATGTGAAAGGATCAAGGATCTCTGTTTTTAGTTTGGAGTTTTGTCAGATATAACCTGAATGCTTCTCTTTACCAGGAGTGGTGGTTGTGGATGAGTTGCACATGCTGGGAGACTCTCACCGAGGGTATCTGCTGGAACTCCTTCTGACCAAAGTTAGATACGTTACAGAGAAGGTTGCAAAACGGTGGGTAAACCAGGTTGTTTGTCTTTTAATGCTAAATCAGGGATTACTCTAAATATTTTGTTCTCTGGGTGATTGGAGATTTGGGTTAGCTCTGGTGTTTTTGAGAGTGCTAACCTAGGCTATTTTTGTTATTAAGGTCTCATCATACCACCTCTCAGGGGCCTGCTATTGTAGTCAAAACCTCTTTTCCTCATGGTTTTCAATTTGTGTGCTACCATGAGATTCATTCTCTCAGGAAAAGAAATAAGACCAACGCTTTCAGTTACTTTTTAACCTATTTAAAATCTTTAAAACTTTGGATTTCTTTTAATGCTTTTGCTAGTGGACTTGCCCTGCTTAATTTTTCATGGTTTCATGGAACGGGGTACTTAACCTACTGAAACGTTCAGGTATTGTGGAAGAGTGGGCATGCTCTTAACTTGTCAAAGGTGAATTGATCAGAAGACTCAAGAGGATGCACCAGCAGTCAGCTTAGCACTGCCTAGGGAGCTGTGGTTTTGCTCCATCTCTCAGTCATGGTCAAGTCAAGAGTAGTTCCCCATATGCCTTAATGACATGGAGGTGGCTGCTCTTTTTGTTTTGGAATCCACTTGAGATTCTTGGAGTTGAAGATCATGTTTTCTCTCAGATGTCCCTCCAAGTCAGTGGTACTTTTATTTCTGTTATTTAGTGGGAGCTTCTTTATCTAAGTTCTTTAAATACTCTTCAGCCTGACCGATAATCAGAATGACCAGTGCTCTTAAGAGCTTTTTAAGTGATTAGCTGCACATCCCACTGATGCATAAGGCTGGGTCTTTGCACCAAGAGAATGTTCTCTGATGGCCATTGCATGGATGCCTTTGTGTCTCTGTGAGGCTTGTGCAGACCCAGGCAAAATTCCACAGCAAATTTTTCTCCCCAGTCAGAGCATGTTGTTGGAGCTGAACGTTTTTAATCCTTGAACATCAAAAGTTGCTTTAGTGAAGGAAAAGGTCAAAAGTTGCTTTAGGGGGAGAAATCTGCAATCTAGATGGTGAAGCTGTACTAGCAAATTCTTGAAGAGCTTGGATAAGAGTATGCCTCTCCACATCTTCCTTATTTCTCTCTCATCAGTGACTGTCCTTTTCACTCTAGCTCCTGGATAGTCTTGTTTCCTCTATCTTGTCTTTGCGAGGACTAACAGGATCTTCTAAGAATGTTCAGGCTGTTTCTGGACTCAGGTTGATTTGTTCAGACATTTTTAAAGTCTCAATCTGTGGCTGAGTGCAATGCAAATGAGGAGTTTCAAGACATGTTTAGGAGCATACCCCTCCCCATCCCCCACTGTGTGGATGTAAAACCCTGAATTAAAATTTACATTTGGGTATCTAAATTAATGGCTTGTTTTCAGGTCTGTTAAAGAGTCCATTACTTCTTGGTGCCTTTAGCAGAAGCTGCTGTTCAGCACTTTGAGAACTGAAGCTGCTTTCTCCTTTGATGAACTGAGGGTTCCCAGCTCTAGGAAGGCCTTATTCTAGTATTATTTGTCCTGAAACTGAAACAAATGGAAGTGTTTTAATTAAGGCATTTAAGCTTAGAAAGACCTTGGTGAAGTCTGGACCATTCCTTTATTTCTATGGTTTTGATAGTCTCAAGGAAATACTTGATTTATTTGTTTTCAGTTTCTCAAAATATGCAGTCAGTTTATGTTACCTAAAGAAGCTTAAAGTGTAGGTTCAAAATGATACAAAGCTGAATTATCTTGTTAACAATGCATAATCTGACATTGTGTTTGCTAATAGTATCTCTTGTTTCTTTTTCAAGAAGTTGAAAAAAAAAAAGCCTTTGCACTTTCGAATCCGTAAGGAAGTAGATTGACTTAATTTTTCTGAATCCTGTTTTCCAGAACATTAGCCTGTGATGTCACTAACTTTCATTTTCTTTTCACCACTTCCAGACAGGAGAAGATGGCCAGCCCTGGTTGTGGTGGGATACAGATAGTGGGCATGAGTGCTACCCTCCCTAACCTGGGACTCCTTGCCTCCTGGTTAGATGCAGAGCTATACTGTACAGATTTTCGCCCCGTGCCCCTCATGGAGAGGGTGAAATTTGGCAGCAGCATTTATGACTCCTCCATGAATTTAGTACGAGAATTCCAGCCCAAGCTTCAACTGAAGGTAACAAAACTCTGAGCAGTGGCTTTGGGATAACACTTTTTGTACAGCTAAAGTTAAAAAGACAGCTACTGGTATGTTTTAATTTTTTTAGTAGTCAATTTTCCTGACTTCATTGTTTGCTTCATACATTATATGCTCAGACTAAGAACATTTTTTTTTTTTTTTGGTCTCCAATGATTTAAGCAAAAGAAAACAAAGCAAAATACACTCATGCTCATGAAGTTCTTGAATTTTCTTGAATCTGACTTGAAGACAAAGTTGACTTTGCAACTATCTTGTATCTGAGCACTTGCCAGGTATAAAAAGCTTGATTCTCCCCTTGGCCACCACTCTTCCTTGTGTCCTGGAATCTACTTCACTTCATAAATTAAAGGAAGTATTTCCTAGTTAGGCCAAGGAATTTGCATTAATCATTGGGAGAATAATTAAAACGTAGTGTTGAACCTACTTATGTTAAATTGCTAAATGATCTTATTTTGTCAGTGGTTAGAAGGCATATGTCTATCCTGATTCTTCCGAATAATCTGTTTTCAGTGTTTAGTACGTTTGTCCACTTGAAAAGGATATGAAAAGTTAAGGGTAGCATGCTCTAATGATTTGGAAGAACCAAATAGGTAGAAATGGGGAATTTGCACTCCTTACTTGTAGATTCCTCTTCTCTGGAGTCTTTGAAGGGTGAATTCTCTCCCCAGGCCTTTCAACTGCTCTGTGCAATACTAGTGTAGTAGCTGGAGAATATGGGCTGAATGCCAGCAATATTTTGGAATATTTTGGACCTGGTTCTCCTTGTCTGCAAACGTTCTGTTATCTATAGCATGGTGGCACAGCAAAGAAGAAGGATCCTGGAAATAAAAGGAAGTGTTTGTGACAAGAATATCTAGAAGCTTGCTTTTATGTGTTCATATTGAGAAGGTGATGTTATATCATCTTTTCTGCATATTTTTGAAGCAGTTGGTTTCAATAGGTGTTACATTAAGTGAGAGAGAACTAAAGTAGGCTCATGACTCAACAGTTTAAGAGAGTTGGCTTATTTTATAAGACCCAGGTGATCCTCAGGTGCCTGAAAGCTATCACTGGGCCTTCAGACTTCTGTCCCTCAGACTGGACCAGGAAAGGGAACTTGATGACCTCACCACTTCTGCTGAATTTAGACTGAATCCTTGCTGAGCTCCTGATTTGTATATGTGGTTCCTGCCATTGCTGCCCTGTTTTCATTTGTATTTTGGTGCTTTTTATTTCTTGCTGTATGCCTACCTTTTTCCTCTTCCTCCTTTGGCCTGCTTGCTGGAAATGAATCTGCCTTAGCCAAGCTAAATGGATCAGTTGCAGGAACTCTTAGGATCTTAAAAATGAAAAGCCAAACTATAAACAGTAGGATTTTGCCTGCACATCTATGTAAGTGTCCATAAAAGCTGTCCACTGTGCTCTGAGCCCTTGCAGTCTTTGGTCAGCAGTGCTTGCTGGATGCATCCTCAGACTGCTACGTTGCATGCTTTTAGTTCAGACACCCTACTTGATAAGTCTTCTTGGTTACTGTAGAGGGATGTTTTCTCCTGGGGCTCATCCTAGTTCTCCACTACTGCTATTAGTCACAGCATGGAGGTTGCAGTGAATTTTTTGTGCATTGTGGCATTAATTCAGAAACAGATTTATAAAAGGAAGATGTAAAACCTTAGATTTATTAATGGATAAGTCTTGGGTATGTCAAGGGCTGTCCTCAACAGTGTGGTCATACTAGTGCTTGGGCATCCTAAAGCAAGACAGAAATTAAGATAACACTGCTCCATCTTCCTTGTTTGCTCCTTCTTCTGACCTGAAGTAGGAGATTCCTACTGTGACACAGAAGGATGACAGCATCTACATTCCCCATTCAGTGTGAGAGTGCATTGAAAATATTTTGTCTCAATTCAGGGAGATGAAGACCATGTTGTGAGCCTGTGTTACGAGACTGTTTGTGATGGCCATTCAGTCCTGCTTTTCTGTCCATCCAAGAACTGGTGTGAGAAGCTGGCAGACATCATTGCCAGGGAATTCTACAGTTTGCAACAGGCTGAGAGTAAGAGAAAAGTAGTGAATAGAAAACTGTAGTACGCACGGTGCCTTTAAAGAAAATGAATTGTATTAGAAAGTATAAAAATATTTTCTCTCTCAAGGTTCTGCAAAAACCTCGGCCTTTGCCCCGGTTGCTATAGACAGAGAAGGGATTGATGAGGTTCTGGATCAGCTAAAGCGTTCTATCTCAGGCCTGGACTCTGTGCTCCAACGTACTTTGCCCTGGGGAGTGGCATTTCATCATGCAGGTATTCCTGAATATTCTGTAATGGTCAAGTCATGTGGATTCTTCTTGTAGTTACCAGCAATTTACGAGTGGCTTTTTGAAGCCTTCAGTAGCTTATGACTGAGTTAAAATGCTTTGAGAATCTCACAGTTAGAGGTAAACTTAAAATTCCTTTATTGTAGCTGACGACTTTTGTTCACTAGTTGTTATGATAAATCTCTCTGTGTTGTATAAAAGCAACTTTTAAAATACAACTTGGGATTTTTTTTTTGTGTATGTGAAATGCCTGAAAAATCAGCTGATTTGCTGCCCAAGTGTTTTCAAGGTGTCCCTAAAACTGCCAGAGTATTTCAGAGCAATTTTCCTCAAATTAATACTGAAACAGATGAATAAATAAAGTTAACAGTGAAAATAAAAGGAGCGTGTGCCACCAGTGCTTCTGATTAGATCTTTTACTTCTTACTAAGTGTGTGGTAGTGTATGTAACCTGGAGATCCACTGAGAGGAAGCACTGACTCTGAAGAGAGAACAGTAGTTATGGCATTCCAAATGCTTATAGAATGTGGATTTCTTTGTCAAGAACAAAATTGGCTTGAAGCCCTCAAGGAAATGTAGAAAGATACATATTAGACCCATGAACTAGAATGAAAATAATGAAGAAGGGTTCCAGAGTCAGATGGCAAATGACTAAATCCTAGTTCCCTACTGTTTGTTACATCCAGTTTTCTTATTTTTATTTATTTATCTACTTGCAATGCTTGTATTAAACTTTAATTTACTACAATTAGTAAATTGTAGTAAATAGTTGTTCGTCTTGCTACAATGTGTACAAGAACCTTAGAAAAGCTGGTTTGTTACTGTCAACTGACTAATAAAGAGTTAATGGTGAGATTTTGCTTCAGTTACAGCTTGAAAGAAGTTAACTGAGGTAGTGTTGCCAATCTAGTTCCTAACACTAAATGGACAATGTTCATTAAGTTTGTTTGTTCTTCCCCTTGCTTGACAGTAATATTATTAGCTCTTCAATCCAGTCTCACCATTACTAGGTTTTCTAAAAGTCACCTCTCCTTAGGTCTTACTTTTGATGAACGGGACATCATTGAGGGAGCCTTTCGGCAGGGCTTGATCCGAGTCCTGGCAGCAACCTCCACGCTCTCCTCGGGGGTGAACCTGCCTGCGCGCCGCGTCATTGTCCGCACTCCCACCTTTGGGGGCAGGCTGCTGGACATCCTCACTTACAAGCAGATGACTGGAAGGGCTGGCAGGAAAGGAGTAGACACAGAAGGTAAGCAGAGGCTTTATTAATGTTCCCTAAGAATGGTGTTAACCTGATTAAATCCAGGGCAGTGCTTTGCAATTAGCGACTAATCACGATGAATTCCTCGGGTATTCGGCGTGATTAAGTTAATCAAGAAGAATTTGTTTGGAATTAATGGAGGGAAAAAATGTAATTCCCAGGGGATTCTTTTCACTGCATGACATTTACTTTGGTATTTACATGTCAGTTACTTCAGGAACGGGCTATTTTCCACTGTGAATACTTGTTAGCTTCTAAGGCTGTGTTGTTCATTTGCCTAAATTCTGTGGTCTGTGGTCAATTCACTAAAGTGTTTAGCTTCAGTGAGAAAATTTCCCATAAACTCATTGGCTGGGCCTAAAATGTAAGAAATGCATTTAAAGTCTACATAATTTGACTAACTTCTGTTGTCTGAAGTTCTACTTGGGATTTATTAAACTTCCACGAAACTTAACCATAACTTTAATGGAACTTGCAAATCGTAATGTCACAGAGAGACAGGGAAATATGAACAGTAGCTCGTAGATAACATGGTGTCTTAATGCATACAGCAGCACTGGATGCCTGTTATTTTCATTTGCAATGGAAATTTATCTTCATGGATGATATTTGGGAAAATTGTATTATACAGGTGTAAACACAGTAGAAAATACAAAGTTCAACAGAAGCAGGAGGTGGGATTTGCCCTACTGATGGTTTGATTGGTGTTTGCTGGAACACTCTGTAAGCAGACTGTTCTTACATTTAACTTCTATTTTTGCCAGAGTAGCATAGCAACAGAGCATTCTGCGACCTGTATCTCTGTGAGCTATCCCTATGTGTTAAAGAAAAGGGCAGCTGCGTGCTGTATTTTGAAATTTTCCAGACTTTGTCATTTGAGTGTAGCTGGCAGGTGTAAAATTACATTATTCCTTGAGTTTTCTTTTTTTTTCCCAGTTTAAGTTACAATAATTAGTACCCTTTTTTGACAGTACTGGTGTGACTGTGTTTTGCACAGTTAGCAGCTGATTTTATGCTGATGGGCTTTGTGAATATATAATTTTTTTCCACTCTGCAGAGTCTTTTGGATGAGAACATAAAGCTACATTGCCAGCTGCTACTCTTTCACAGAGTAGGTAGACTGGAGAACAGCAACTTCAGCTGGAAAAAATGCCTTATGTGGGTATGAAATTTAGCTGACAGACAGAAGACAAGTGCTGTTGGGTTGATTTCCTTCTCCCCTCCCAGCATTGTAGTGTTGTGATTTTTATTTTTTTTCTGATTTGATGGAAATTTTAAACATTTCATTTTAGAAAATGAAATGGGATTATTTTTGCATTTGTCAAAACTGTCATGTTCCCAATGTGAAATAGGTAGAGCTGTTCAGTATCGCTGAACAAAACTTAGAAATATAATGGTCTTTCTTGCCTTTAATAGACTTTTATGCCTAGATAGCCAGAGCCTTCTGCTGTTCATTAGTCTGATGCTAATCTAGACTTCTTCTCTCATCTGAAATGTTTGATAAGGGATCACAGAATAGCTTTTTTTTTTTTTAACTGTTTACTAGTTTGCAATTATTTGCTTTAAGTTCTCAGTGAAATTTTGAGAGAAAGGGTTTCCTCTTAGTCTTTAATGACTTTCAGATAATATAGACAAGTGGATACCCATCTTCTGTTAGATTTATCACACTGAAGAGTCAAAGTTTTCAGAGGGAATTTTAGGTCACATCAGAACCCAAATACAAAATGAGTGAATGTTCTTTATTGCTAAAGTCAAAATAAGCTTTACTTTGACAAAACAATGCTTGCAGGCAGCTTATCTTCTGTACTTTCAGCTCTGGCCCAAGTACATGGTCAACAAATGTCAAAAGTTTCACCTGATAGGATATAAAAAATCCCAGAGACACATCCTCTGAGCCTGTGTTTCATCCTGTAATTCGTTTATACAATCATGTTTAAGCTCTATTCGGTTATTCACCTACACTTCATTTCTGGTATTTGTTCTATTCATGAAATGCAAGTGCAATTGTGTTTTCCTGACCTCTGGATTTGTAAATTACTGTAGCATTACCAGTCCTAAAGTCTTATTGTAACTTAGCATTCCTAGGCTCTTACTAAGATACTCACTAACATAATTACCTCGGTGTCCAGACTATGCACACTTAAATCTTCACAAGTTATCATAAACCTATCGTGATATTTACTGTACAGCTAATCCAAATCTAATGCTCTCTTCTTAGTCAAAGGCAAGCTTGTCCTATCCATAATTCATTTATCCTATGCCAATTCACAAAGCTTCTAACTAGCTAGGTCTCCTAGGGACCTAGTTTCTCTGTAATGGCTTTGTTGAAAAAATCTCCTTTATGTGACCACTGCGTTTTCTATGAACAGCCTGTACTATTATCTCATTAAAGGAATTGGCCCAGTATTTTTGCTTTTGTTTCATGACAAACATTCCAGGAATGTTTGTCTCTCCCATAGAATTTTGGTAGTTACATACACTAACTTTATAATCTCAGATAATTTTAAGATATCGTATTTTTAGATGTACTTTCAGAGAAAACCATTCAGGATACTTAATATTTTGTGTGTGTATATACATATGCCTATATGAGAGCTGAGAGAATGCATTGTTATTTAGATTAATAACTTTGAATTTCTGAGTTACCTTGGTATCTGTGTTATTTCAGGAGTGGAAGCTGGTTGTTTTAACACAAACTGTCGAAGTGCTGTGCAGCTTGTATGTTTTCTTCTTGCTTTTGAGAATCTTTTCAGTTCAATAACGCAGTGCAGAAGAAAAATTTATGCCACTGTTTATTATAGTTGCAGTCAGTTCCAGAACAAGAAGCAAGAGTGGTTCAGCAAGCAATGCTATGGAATCAGCTTAGCTGATTTGGCCCGACCCTTAGAAGCCTAATGTAACTTTGAAGTTTGCTCTGCTTTTAGTTCTGAAGTATTATGCATCTGTAGAGTTTTTAGATAGCAAGGTATACACTGTTCAAGGATGTAAAGGTTTTTATCATTTTATTCAGCTTTTCAAAAATACGTGCGGTTTTCAATTTCAATACAGTGTCCTTGATGAACTATATGTAGCTATTGCTGTGCTAAGATGAAGTATTGGGGTTGTTAATTGTTTTTGTTTTTTTTTCTTTTGTTTGTTTCCCTTCCTATAGGTGAGAGCATTTTAATTTGCAAACCCTCAGAAAGATCAAAAGGAATTGCTCTACTTCAGGGATCTCTCAAGCCTGTTCGCAGTTGTTTGCTTAGAAGAGAAGGGGAAGGTGTTGCTTCTAGCATGAAAAGAGCAATACTTGAGGTACAGGACACATGGAAAGGGTTTAGAGCTGTTCTTGCACTCTTGTAAATTGTAGGATGGTTTCCTTTTGTGACACCACCAAATGTTTTCTGTGTATTTTTTTTTCTTCTGTTTCTTCCCTTGTCAACCCAAGCAACTTCAGAAGAAAATCGCTTGGGTCAGCCAGCTTGCTTCAGCATTCAGCATTTTGACTGATATGTTTCAGTCTCCGTTTGCTGCAGATTAGGCCATGAGCACACTCAAACAAAGGTTACTAAGCTTTCCTTTTGCATTTAGATATACTCAAACTGCAGGGAGAAATAAGTGTAGTTCTTAAACTTCATGCATGACCTGACACATCTTAACTGAGAGATGCATGTAAATTACTGATCTCAGAGGCTGTGTAGACTGAATTGGGCCATAAAGACATTTATAGAACCTTGTAGGATCCCTTATTTCCCCCCCTCAACTTATCTACCTCCTCTGCACAGAAATGGTGGAAATTTTGTAGATACATTTTTGGTGAACAAACAGGTCTGGTACCAAATATGCTCCCTCTAGCCTGTCCTCCTCAGTAGGGTCCCTACAGGAGTGAAAAGGACCAAAAGGGTTAATTCCATGTTGGTGAACTTATCTTCTAGTCCAAAGTTGCTTTTGGGCTTGCACTGAGTTTAGACTCTTTAAATACATTTCATTTGATGTACTTCTGCTGTCTCCTGAGAGCTGTGGTGGTACTTAAAATTTGGCTGTGACTCTGTACATTTTGAATTTTTAACAGACCAATGGAATTTCTAAATGCATTTTTCTATGTAAAAGGTATCTGAAAGATGAGGATTCCTTTCCAGTGATGTTGCTTTATAACATGAAAAAAACCCACTGAAACCATGAAGGAAAGCTTTTCAAGAAGATTAAACATCTTGCTATCTTAGGGAAGACACACACATGGAAATAACTCACAAGGAGTAATGCAGTTACGTGAAACACAAAATGAAAACAAAATCCAAGGGGAAAAAAGAGTCGCTCTCAGTCAGGCAAACAATGATGGGGGATAACATTCACATTTATTAAGAGAAAACTCCAGTATGTTGAAGAGCCTTGGGAGAACTCTTCCTTCCTGGTTTGCTTTTTATCTTCAGAAAATTGGAGTTTGTGTTCCAACCTTTTAGAAGTATTTCACAGTGTTGGCTAAGCAAAATGCCTTTGGCTAGCCTCAAATCTAAATTGCTACTAAATTGCCATGTGCATGTCCACTATCAAAATAAGATTTTGTAATTCATTCTTTCCCATAGCTTAGTCTTCTTGCTTCTCTCTCTGGTGTCTAACTGGTTGCCAAAAAAAGTCCTTAAAGGTTGGCTGTTGCTTTGCTGCATGTTTCCCTCTCATACTGGTTCTTTAAAGCTTAAATATCAGGTGGATCAACCTCTTTAATTCTCTGATCTGATATTACGTCTACTGCTTCTCTGGCAGTATGAACAAGTACTTTTCTTCAACAGATCATAGTGGGAAGAGTGGCCAACACTCCAGATGACGTGCAGACCTATGCTTCTTGCACTCTTCTTGCATCCAGCTTGAAGGACAGCAAGTGGGGAAATGAGAAAGCAGAAGACAAAGTGCAGACTGGACCTATCGAGGCTTGTGTGGCATGGTTGCTGGAAAATGAATTCATTCAAGTTCTGGACTCTAGCAATGGTGTGAAAGGTAACATCAGTGTTCTTCCTAATGATTGCAGTTAGCAGTTTTGAATCAGAAAATCTGCAGCTGGGTAGATGTTCAATGTGACTTTATAATGAGGATTTCTGTGCCTTTTGGTTTATATTTTAAAGAACCATGTGTATCAAGAATTTTTTAACTTTCTGGAGGATGTCTTTATACCTGCTTTAACATTTTTTGCATGCACGTGTTCTTGGAAGGCCTCTCTCTGCCCATCACCTCTAAGACTAATGGATCCTAGTTTACAAATTGCCCAATATCTTTAAACAAAGCATGCTTTTACTACAGGATTTGTGCACATTAACTGTAGACTATGATTTTTGTCTTTCTGAAGAACCACCAGTGCATTTGAAGAGAGTGCAGGTCTCTTCTAAAACTGCTTGGTGTACATGGTTGCACTTTTTCTTGATTTTGGCTATTTTCTTAAGCTGGCTAAGTGTGAGACTTACAGTAATAGGAAGAATCCCCATTACAAGTAAATTTGTATTTCTTTTTTAAGAAAAGAAAATAGGAGATATTTAGTGTTCCTAAGAATGAAATACACAGAATGATAACTCTGTCAACAGAAGGATTCCAGTGGGTTTTGTTCAAATAGCTATCACAGCTGTTAGTCTGAGTTGTTAGAGGGCCTCTGAAAAAGGCTGTTTGAGACTCAAACAAGTCTAAACCTTTTATTGCTTACATTTTCTTCTCTTCAGAATGAGGAAATATGCTACTTAGTCTTGAAAAAGCAGTTGGGAAAAATTAATAGAATTTATATTTATATT